CCCCTGGATATGGATTTGACTGATTATCTTTCAGGGCATCAGTTGGACAAGTAGTCATATTGCCGCTCCGCAAGGAGATATTATTCTGGAGTGCAAGCCCTAATAATATGATATGTCTAATAGCGCTTAACTCTTAGTTGGACCTTCACCATGCAGTCGTCTCTATTATTGCTGAGAGCCTCAAATAGCGCTCGCAGGGACATGGAGAGGGGAAAAGTCAGAAGGAGAATGATGTGGAAGAAAAAGCGGTTCATTTGAGATGAACGTCCACCACAGTGCGTGCATAGAAGTTTAATATTTCTTTGCTCACTGGTTTGGCAGCTGAAAAGATTGGAAATGACACTAAGTATTTCTAAAGCTCACATAGGTGATATAGAAGCCCAAGATCACTAATGTACAGGCATAAGGGCAATTATATCACTCAGAAAAGCTCGCACACACGCATGGACATCAAAGGATTCCGGAAAGGTCATTTTTGACAGCGGAAAACAACCATCCCACCGCAGGCTCTGCTTCTGATTCAGAAATACAAAACATTTTGATTTGCTCTTCAGATTTTTGTTTGTTGGTTTGATTGAATTTTCATTTCAAACACAAACACAAACGTCAAAACTGGCAGAGGGAGATTGTATCTTTGAAGTTAAACTAAACATTGGTTGAATTATGGTTTGCTGTAGTGATAGCCAATGCATCCAAACCGGAAAGAAGAAGGATTCTAATTTTGTGATAAAAGCCATACAACTTGATTTGATCCCCAGTTTGGACGCAACACACTAAATGTGTGACAGTAAATGATTTGAAGCATAATGTGCCTTCCAAGACAAAATGATCTTAACATGCTCTAAGATTTGTGAATTTGTTTCTTGGTTTTGAAAGCAATCGAGATGACTTAATAATTTCTTTCCAGGCAAATTAAACTGTTTCCTCTGTGAACCCTGGTAATCAGCTTAAGTGATTACATCGGCTGTAAATATGAGATGATGAAAGCTCAGTGTTCAGAATGCGCATTGCCCTGGGGGAAAGGCTAAATGGGAGTTCTTGGGTAGATATGATAGGTCATCTCTTTTGTATCAGATGCTGTGGGAAGGGGGCTTGTGTGGGGATTGGTTGCCCTCTAGCTGTCAGTATTGAGATTGGGTTATAAAATATGGTATTAGATTGTAATGTAGGTGTCATCAGTCAATTTAAAGAGTTTGAGCTGAACACTTCAATATTTTCTTGCATTGAATCTGATTGAGAGTTTTCAGTAGCTTCAGGGAAAGTGATCAAATCAGTATTGTCATTATCTTTCGACAAACAAATGAATAAAAGTAGATCTCATCAGTATGGTGGATTTTGTAAGACTCCACACCATATAGTTATATATCCGGAGTCTAGTGATTTATAATGGTAGCATTTTAAAGTTATGACTGGAAAACAGCAGACATCAGCTGAGTGTATTTGGTTCCTGCTGGAAAGTCTTCCATTCCATTTTTTTCTACATCCCATGTGCTGAATGATGAACTGTCTTGACAGCTGTCATCAACTTGCTACAACCAACACCACATCATAGGAACCAGTAAAAAAAAGACAACAGCCCTTGAAAAAAAGGATGTTGACTGTTTGCCAAACTGCTTGTAAAATGTTGCAGAGACTATATTTGTATCATTTAGACAAAAGTATGTGCTTTAAAGTATATATGCTACAAGTATCTCAAACTTAAAAAGGTACAGATACTGTCCTCTGCTGTTTTAAGCTTGAATGGTTGAAAAAGCTACCATTAAAGTGGGTTATTTCTGCTTGTTCCCCCATTTCCAAAAATATAGCTCATAAGTGATGAATAGGAAAAAAAAGAAAGGTAGGGGGGGAAGTGAAATGATCATATCGATGTCAAAGTGTTACGGTTGTTTTATACATGAAAGATAACTTTTCAGTGAAGGTCTTCCTATGAAATATATCTAGATCATACTGTATACCTTTTGAACTCAATGCAGCTGCTGAGTTTGCATCTTTCCTGCAGTTTATTGTGTGGATAAGTGTGTGCCTGGGTGTGTTATAAGCACTGTTACAGGAAGTGTAAAACCCTTTGGATTACAGATCTCCTGCCCAGTTCTGAACTAGCCAGGAAAAGTACTTTTTAACTTAACTCTCACATATGTATTTGTGTTTCAAGCAATTGCTGTAAATGCAGGCCTTTTTCAGTTTAAATGCAGCCCTGTGTCCAAGAAAGGGCCCACCAAGTCTTCAACCATTTCAGAGGGAGTTTAATGCTGCACCATGCACTTTATTGCCGTCAAATGTAATTTGTCTTGAGTTGATTGCATTGAAAGCCGTGTTTATCAGGCACCTAGCAACACTGTTTTGAATTAAAATGACCTCTTTAAAGAGCAATTAGGAAAAAAAGAACCTATAGGCCAAATGCCCTTCAGCTCCAGATTTACAGTACTTTAATGAACATTATCATTCCGTAAGTCATGCAACACATCTAAAGTGGAATCAGTAAAGCAAGTGTACAAAGTGTCCGGGTAGTATTTTGCAATTGGAGGCCATGAGATTTTGATGGAAGAGTTTTGAACGTTATTTTCAAAGGGTGATTTTAACTGAGAGCTGTGTGCGAGAAACTTTATTACCAAGACTCAGATTGGCAGCTTGATTCAAAATAACAAGATTACATTAATTGCAGGAACTAGCTCTGAGATGTTTTGATGCATGCATTAATTACTATTAGCAAGGCAATATCTTGAGTTTTCACGCGTGTCGACTTAAATGAGTGAATATTTTCAAATGTACCTCACAGTGTAGCCCTGAGCATAAGAAACAGGTCTTTGGTGAGGGCACATTAAAGGCCACTTCAATGCCAGCACATATGAGAAGGCAACTAGAGATAATGCCCTCATTTTACATACGGTTACCTATTTTTCGTGAGAGAAAAAGCTTGAACAAGTGCAGTAATAAGGCCGAGAATCATTCAGAGAAACGACAAGACTTGTTTTTCTGCAGCGTTTTCCTGTGCTTCGCCCCTCAGCGAACCATAGCGTGGCTTGTTTCTTTGTGTTCTAGATCAGGATCCAGATAGCGTCTCATCATCCAAGCCTTACTCCACTTTTCCCCCCATTAGATTTTCTTTTCCCTTAAAATCCCTCACACTCACTCCCCCTTGCACACATACATCTCGCACACACACCTCGTTATCTTATTTGTGGCCTTGGCAGCCGGATTGTTGCCTTGCGGTTCGGTAGCCAGAGTTTGCTCTGTCACAGAGAGCCGGGGGGTGCAGAACCTCCACCACACAAGCTTCCATGAGAGCAGGAAGTCAGTTCCCAGCATGCTTTGCCCTTCCCAGCGAAACCTGGGTTGGATTAACCTTGGGCTGGGGGACCTTTCCAACTTGGAAAAGAGAGTTATGCAACTTCCCATACTTATCTTCTCTTTCTATTGCAGTGACAGTTGAAAAGTGTTGCGCTGAACAGACAACAGAGATTCAGTCATGAAGGTTGAAGCAAACCAAGACCTGATATGTGTTCCTTCATATTAGGTTGACTTCTTTATATAATCTTACCATTTTCATTGAGAAAAATTGGAGAACTTGTAAGGCATTAAAGGCCTTTTCTGTAATCTTTATGAGGCATCATTATTCCAAGCACACTTTGATTCATTTTTAGCCGCTTGTAGTTAAAACCAACATTTTTCCAAGTGGTTATCTTCCTATTCCATCACCTTTTTCACATTTTCCGACAGTGTAATCAAATACAAGCTCAAGCCCCAAATCCGGAGCTCTCCAGCCCAAAATAAGCAGGTTGAGTTCACATAATCTATTCCACAGCAGTCTTTTTCATTAGTTTGCTTTTACACACTACAGTTTACAGTAAATTCAATAGAAGTGGAGCTCACTGGTCATTAATTTGTTGTTTGAAAAGCTATCCTTTGCACCCATCAATATGTTGCTTCATCCTTGGTTGTTTGCCATGGCTAATTCTTACCCGATGAAGGTAATACTCAAAAACATTCCTATTTTAAGTCCTTGTGATGAGTTCAGTCAGTAGTACCGCAGCCCTGTCCCTGGTGCAGTAAAGCAGATATGCTTAGTGCAGCACCAAACAGTTGCAAACAATCTCTTTATATTGAGTCCAGGTCAATGAGTTTATGTGACATAACTGCTGTTTCTGCGAGACACTACATGGGTCTTTTCGCAAACAAAATATCTGATAAAAGATGATATTTTGGGTTGTTGTTGTTGTATCTTAGAGAGGCCTCAGATCCTCCTTATAAGGACTCAGCCAACACACTTTTGTCAGAAAACTGGAAAGGGAGAGGACGTTTATTATGTGCAGGGTGAATTTCCCTAAACCCATTTGGCCCAGAAACCAACCGTAATTTGTATATTACCATGCTCAAGTTCCGCTGTTGGCAGAACCTATTGTGTAAAGATATGCACATTGTAGGCCTAATGTCAACTAAATATATAAAGAGATTGGACAACATTTTGACACAGGGGCAAAATAAAAGATAGGTCATAGGGTCACCTTATTTATGTATAACATAATGACGGTATTATAAAAAGAAATTTGGATAGCTTGAAAGCATATTTCCTTGGAGTTTTCTTGTGAGTTTTGTGTCTACATATATCTGTATTAAAGAATTATGAGTTAAGGAAGCGTCTAGGAAGCGCCCCTAACCCTACCCTAACATTTTTGTGGGCATTTACAGTTTTATTGTGTTTCAAGCTGATTTACAATCAATCAACTTCAAGTTACTTCAAGGTAATTGTCACACAGACAACCTTTGGCCTCCAGGTGCCCCTAGGGTCTGGAGCCCCAGGGCAGTTGGCTGCTTTGCTCGGCCGGTAATCCAAACGTAGCCGTCATGTAACATTTGTACGAGAAACAGATCTCATTACACTGAGTAGAAAGACTCTGACACGAGGTTGTATGAAACACATGATAGACGATACTAACAATCTTTGGGTAGAACTGATTAAAGGGATAACTAATCTTTCTGTTTTCTTTCTGTCTACCCTGAAGGCTCAGGGAAGCAGCGATCCAAAGAACCAAAGAAGAAGAACAAGCAGAGGCTGCGGTTTCGGGCCCAGAACCAGCACAGCGACCACTTGGCCTCTTCGCGCCCCAGCCAGTGAGGTCTTGTACTACGGACTTCCCATTGAACAAAGAAAAACCAACGCAAAGCTGCTGCACCCATATTCTGACAGGCGACTATCCACCGCCTCATCCCGCTCTCCCTCGCCCCCCCCCCAAGGACACAACCATGACTCACAAGTCCCAAAAATATATGTTTGACATGCGATATCGGTATCAACACACGCTTTTCACGCCTCATTCCCCCGCTGCTTCTCCTCCGCCCAAAGTGACCAGCCAGGTGACTCTCATCCCCGCCCCGCCCCCTTGCATTGTGGACCTTTTACAGTTGACATTACCAAGCTCATTTCCCGCGATTAACATTGTCATTAACCAGGCAGGGTGATGGAAAACGGAGGGGCAACCAGAGACTGTGGAGGCGGGAGAGGCGGATAAAGGGAGGTGGATAGAAGAGGTAGTGAGGGAGTTGGCAAGCTAAACTGCTCGGGGAATAGGTTGGGATGGGGGAGGGGGTTGGAAAATAAGAGCAAGTATGAAGAGCGAAGGGGATTCGGCTGAAGCAAATGATGCAGATGGACAAGAAAATGGCATCTTGAACTTAAAGAGACTGTTTTTCGTTCCTATATATTTATGTCAAAACTACCCTCACCTTCCCCTCTAGATGGAGACGGAGCGTTCCCATGTGTGGCCTTTATGTTATGTACATTTTTGAGAGTAATATTAAAAGAAATTACCATGCATAGTTGCAAAAGTATTTTATTCTCAGCACAAACTGTTTACGTTCAGACTGCTTTATGCTCTAACTGTATAGTGTGGATAAAAAAAGAAGACATTTTAGTTGTTCGACTAGCATGGCAACAGACTCATGTGTACATAGTTTATCTAATTATGAAAGCTTATTACTGTATTTTCAGTAATGACTCGTTCACCGTTCTAAATGTTTTAGAGAGAAAAAGGTTGTAATACCAAGCTACAGATTAAAATGATTAAAAACAAATAATAAACATAGCCGCCACATAGCTATTTCATTTATATGGTATATATTTGATTTATTTATTAATTCTATTTTGTACTATTTTTGAGAACTTTTGCCTCATACTGTTACTCTTATATGCTGAAATATTCTTTGAGTTCCTTATAACAAGTGCATATCTTTCACACGTGGAAAATGTTTTTTTCTGATGTCACGCAAAGTGTTGTATTGCATTCATTTTGACCTCATCTACTGATTTAAAGAAGAAGAAAAAAAGACAAAACTATGCTTTGACGTATTCTAGGTTTAATGATTAGGATCCAGCTAAATGTATGGTCATAGGACTGCATATGTGTACATTGTGTTTTATTAAAATACATTTCATGTGACTGTATGATGAAGCCTTTCATTATTGTCTAATATGGCTATAATATATGTGGCTAAACCCCCGAAACTGCCGATTCCTTGTCTCACTACAGCGTAATATTATGTGATCTTGAAAACATTTGTGAAATCCATCATGTTGCACTGCATGACACAAGTGCTACCTCCAGCCAAAGGATTGGATATGCTCGATTGGGCCTTAACAGCATGACGGCACTGTTAAGGGTTTGTAATTCACTATGACGTATCCTCATGAATGGCAAAAAAATCTGTTCAAGTTGTTGGTGGCGCATTCATTTTCCAGCATTATACACCGACAACATGGATTTGGCTGCAGCACTTGCCTTTTATCACGCACACACACTTAATCACCTCCTTTTTCGATGCGTGCCGCACTTATTCACTTTTGTAGTCCTCAAAACATCAAATAAAAAAAGTATTCTCTGGGCCAAATCGTCCTCCATGGGCAACGAGATTTTTTTTTAATGCAAGTCACGGATAATTTAGCCAGAGATCCACACTGTATAATCATTGTTCCGAAGATTAAAAAATAAATAAAATTGAATCTGCCGGACAGCTTAAAGATGCACAGTAGCAGATGAATTATCACCCTGTGTCCCATCATCCTGGGAGACTTGGACCACAGTCTTCCTGCTCTGGTTAACCCCCCGATGGAATCACACGTTATATTTCCATGTTAAAATACCCTGCTCTCTACAGTATATGCTCCATATCCATCTTAAGGCCGAATACAGAGCAGTTTGTTCCTGAACATCTTTCACAGTGTTCAAAGAGACACACATTTGAAACAAGAGGCTATTCATTTTCAGAGTTTAACACTTCCACCGAGAGTGATAATAAGCTACTGTATGGAGGCCCGAAACTGACAACATTTGAGACAAGCATGTAATGGGCTGGATTCTAAATAAACGAAAATATAATAATTTAACTTGCCAATCAATTTGAAGGTGTTGTTTTAAATAAAATACATAAAGCCCCTTTGGTTCATTTAGAAAATTCACCTTTTCCATGCCATCTGTCCACATAGTGCTTTTTCTTCTCTAAAAATGCATTACTTTACTCGATCGCATGTTGACATCATAATACAATTCAGTTAAATAAAATAAAAAACTGTCTTCATCCCAAGAAGACTTACATTTTTGGGCCTACTCATAATTATGCATCCAAAACAGAAAAAAACGTAATTATATCATGTCATGCTTTTCTTCCAGGGAGGCTGTTGCTAAGGCTACTTTAGCCCGGCCATGTTCACATATTTGTACACATGCATAAAAGCTAATGTGTATCGACCATGTCATTAACACATACATGTGAAAAACTAAAATGTTGCATAAGTTCAATACATTAATGTTTAAATGTGTGTCTAGACCAATAAATGAGGGAGTTAAAAAAAAACATAAAAGAAAAATCAAATATGTTTTATTTATTAAATCCAGTGCTTGGTGGTAAAGAGGGGAAAAAATGATTGGATTGTGTTCAGTTTTTTATTTGACTTGTCTCAAAACAGTTTAACCACATTTTGTCAGTTTCAGGACACCATATTTCACTACATTTTTCTCATAAAATGTAATATTCTTTTCAAATATTACAGTAAACAGCTTTAAGTAGCCAGTTGAGCCCCATAATGTTTGAAGCAAAGCAGTTCCAGTGAAAGGAATAAGGCGTAGATGTTGTTTTTGAAGACATCTGCTGCTGGTTACAAGTTAATGAACGATTCACAGATGTCATCCCCTGGGCCAGACTATCACTGCTCCAGACTGAGGGATTAAACCTAAAGCCTTACGGAGAGGAACTGCACTGAAGTTGGATTCATTAGGCACAGGACCACCACTAGAGCACACATTGCGGCATCTGCAAATGGAAAAAAAGGGATATAAAGAGAATCACATCGCACATTTGAAAGGAATGCCATTCTTTACTTCACCTCACCTTTCCGCTTTGACTTCGCTTTTTTCTACTGCTGTGAGAAACAAGATGGTATTCTCTGTGTTGTTAAGAGCGTAAGGAGTCACATCAGAAGGAACGGTCCTCCCTGTGTAAACCACTTCTGTAAACTGTGTGTGTGCACGCTCGCTTCTGTGTGTGCTCGTGTTTTACTGTTTGTGCTGAATGTGGTTAGGTGGCTGAGACTGACAGACAGCATTTTCATTAGTTCTGTTGGGTCCTATTATTAAAGCCTGCTTCAAAGACACAACAAGTGAAACCACTAACAGGAAATGACCCAGAGAGCTCAGCACTGTATAGATCAGTGATGGCAATCTGTGCTTTTAAAGCAGGTTGTTATGGTACGTAAATGCATCAATTGTAGGCTACACACCGGGGGCTTGGGCTTCAGTCACACATTTTATGACTTTCACATGAACTTGATGGAATTAAACAGTATCGCGCTAGACTTGGACCCATTCATGCATGAACTATTAAATGTCAACATTTTTGTTGTTTTGTGTTATTAAAAAAAATAAAATGTACTCAACACAGGTCTGAAAAACACAGGTTTGAAAAAAGACAAGAAAATATTTGCTAAATCTGTATAAAAGTAGGCTATTCTCAACATTTTTACTCTGATTTTCTAAAAATAGAGTATTAAACAGCTACTTTGTGCATTTCCTTTTCCCTCTGCCAATTTGATTGCAAAATCCTAAAACAACAAAGATATAAAGATTACGTTGATGTTGAAGTGTGAACATTTTTTTTAGGGATCCAAGACTTCGTTTTTGGGACATTGTACTGAAACATAAAGGGTTGAAATTGCTTGTGACTTTCCATGGACTTCAGACTTTCACTTTGGAACACTTGATAATGAAATGAATGTAAACAATTGTGAATTAATTCATTATTTCCGTTTGTTTACTGCCAAAGATGGCATTACATTTGTAGAAGAGCACATTATGGCTTGAGCTGTGCCTCAATGTGCATACTTTTGTACTTACATTTTCTGTTTTGAGTGCGTCCCAACCTAAAGTATGGGGAAATGCAGTGCACTACACTGTATGTGTACAAGGATGGTGCACTCATAACCAGTCAGGATTGTGGTTGCTCCGGTAACCAAAGCATTATACACATAAATGTAGACATGTGTTTTTTTTTTTTTTTTTAAGTAAAGCACAACTATACTGATGTCAAAAATAAGCCACCTTTAAGTTTGCAGGCTTAATGGAGCAGTCTGTAATGATTTGGTACCGCGAATGATTGTAGCTAGCTAGCCAGCGGCAGCGATTGTCACTTCTGGTAAGGACACAGCAGCTGTGTGCGATTATCACACAGTAAGGACTTAATCGCACTTTAAAGTTTATGACTTGAGAGTCGGGCTGTGTTGATTTAGGCCTTTGGTTAGGACTTGATACTTATTTTAGATTTTCAAAACATTGAATAGTCCTGGTACCGGTGAATGTACCTCAGAAGAGAGTCAGAGGATAAGACAGGGCCTCAGGGACCTCTGCTCGACATTTACATGCATTGTAGCCAACTGTGAGTGTGTCGTTGTGGTTCATGTGACACATTGGTTCCAATATAGATGGCAGAAATGGAAGCTTTGACATTAGTGGGGCAAATGAGATTGCCTGGGATAATAAATGCGTCAATAATTTGCAGTTTTTAATAACTGTATAATGAGCCATCGCTTGCCCTTAAAGTTGAGGGAAATCCTGGAATCATTCATCTTCATGTGGGTTAGCAACGGTGTTTGGCAGAGGCCAATACAGCAACGAGTAGGAACATAGTGCTGTCAAAGCACAACCAGGGTTTAATATTCTGAACAAGTTTGCCATATGTTAGCCATCATGGTGTGTACAAACCCGCTAAATGGTGGCAATAATGGTTGAATTTTACTACTAAAGTCGCTCCTAAATGCGAAAATGCAATCCAAAGTCAACTGTCAGGGCAGATTTGGGAGTTGCTAGGGTAACAAGTTAATCCCAAAAATAAATATGTTCTACAATAAAAGCTAATTGTCTGTGACAGTTATTTGCTTTTCTGCAGAGAAGTTTGAAATGGGATAACTGTAAAAAGATCCTGAGCAGTGCTGTACATGGCATTTAGTCACTTAGCCCCTCCACATCTCCATCACCTGCTGGAAAGGAAGTCAAAATGAATTATGTTCCTAAAGCTCACCTTGCGCTCTAATAACACCATGCTGTGCTTGATTTGACACATTTTGGAATATTTACGAGTCACTTGTTGTGGTAGTGTTTTTTTGGTTAGGCCTCATACTAGCAGGTGCATTGGGGACATGTGCTTTTTTATCACCATCCATTACATGGAACAGGCAGGGATTTCTATAAAAACCGGTGTGGTGTTTCCTATGGGTACCTTAAATATCTTTTTAGCTTATTTAACCCCACATTCCTCTAATATTCCCCTGATTTTTCTTTTACATTGGGATCCAAACACATCACAAAGCCATTGTCCCTGTTCACTTGAAGGGAGTACAGCCGAGCAACTCTGTCCTTCCTCTCAGGATGTGGCACGCAAGGGCTTTATGACCTGAACTCAATCAAACTGCGCACCTTAAACATATTACAGGCTGCGCAGGTATTTCCTCTTACTGGTGCTCAGAGAGCCATGGGCACCACCATTATATCGGGCTCAAGAGCCAGCTGGTGAGGACAAATCCACAAGGATTTCTATTTTCCCCCCATCTGACTCTCTGGCAGCCTCACTCTATTCATTCAATTTTTTTATGTGCCTAGTAGCCGTGTTACTACCGGTTTCAAGGGAGAATTAATCGGAAACAGGTCTTATTAAAGTACATTAAGACCAGTTGAATTGGATATAATGTGCTCAGTGAGGGCCCAGAAGGGTTGTATCAGACCCATAGCTGACACTTGTGGCTTCTAGGAGCGGGCTGTGTTATTCTGTAGTGGCACTGCGTTGGTTCCAGGCGGGCTATTCACTTCAGCCAAGTGTTGCATTGTGGGTAAGCAGATTTTAAGTGGGTATGAGCCCAGCAGGGGGTAAAGGAGGGTCTCATTGTCCGGGAATGTTTATCCC